ACTACTACTACTACTACTACTGCGCGCCGGCCCGGACGAGGCGGCTACGCATAGCGATCAAATTGAACCTGCCTCCGGTGACAGAAGGCGCTCGTGGGCGCGTCGGGAGCGCACCACGCCCCGGGCTTTTGGCCGGAGCCGCGGCGGAGCAATAGGCCGCCCCTGATAGTTGTTGGCGGATTAGTGCTTCCGGGAAAGACGAAGCAGGGAGAACAGGAGAACGGAGAGAATAAGACGACAGCACAAGCCCCCAATCGATGCGTTTCACGGTCTGGCTCATGCGACCCGTGTTGGAAACAAGGCATGCGCCGGAGTTGCCAAAGACTTGAGTTGGTGGTGCCTCAACCTAGCATCGACCAAAGGTGCCTTCCCTTGACGAAAGCTGGAGATGTGCGCTGAGAAGGTGGATCGATTCAACTGCTTCCCACACTCGCCCGATTAGCCTGATATCGAATTACATCTAGCTTGTTTTGCCTTTGCGTCAAACAAGACTGGGTGAAGGCGACCACGTTGCATTCGGTTTCGGCAATATTACCCCGCCCTGTTTCCGCAGCAAGTTCGAGACGAGAGCCCATTCTGGTAGCACCGAGGTGCGTGCACGGGAGGATGGGTGGAATATAGTGCGACAGATTTTCTACTGTTCATGCAGCAGACGCAGCAGCATGTGCATCAGGGCTTGGTCGCCAAACTTTTGTTGCACAGCCGGTTTCTCCGAGCAAGAGCAGGGGTTTCTATCCACATATATACAGCAATGTCCAGTGGTTTGTTTCAGTTTACATCCAGAGACTCTGCAGGAAACACAGGATTCCCCGTTCAGATCCAGAGCAGGAGAGTCTATCAACATATACAGCAATGTCTAGTGGTTTGTTTCCATTTACATCCAGACACTCTGGAGGCAAGACAGGATTCTCCATTCACGTCAAGAGCAATCAACAGAACTCCGAACCGCCCGAGCGACGCTTGCACAGGCTATCCGAAGACACCGTGCGGAGACCGAGGAGCTCCCAGACGGCACACTAGCCCATGTGTCCGACTGCCATACTGCATTTTCAACGAACAACAGCCAGCTGTCTCGGGCTTCACCGTACACTCCTTTTCGACTCACACGCACGAGGCTCCCAGGCTGCAGCTAAGCAGCTAAAGGCAACCGGCGAATGGCTCCTACGACGTACTCAAGACTGAGAGGCAGAAAGCAAGGTGACCTAGTCGCCTAGTCATTTACCACCTACATTGCCTGTAGAGGCACAGGGTGCATCGCTTGACTTCACACACAAGTCCGCAGCCTCTGTCGGACTCACGTCTTTGGAATACCATTCAGAAACTCTACCAAAACTCATGCTGCAACTCTGGGCTCCTCCAGTGCAAGGAACAAGCACGGCTTACATTTCCAGTTTGCTGTTGGGTTGTTGGGTTCCTGCAAGCGACTGACCGCGGGCGCCTGCTCATGCCCCTGGTCCCGACACACCCCGACCAGTATGAGCAAAGGCGAGCGGAGCGACGAGAGAGGATCCCAGAGCATCGCTTCAGGAATCTTGCTGCTGATGAGCTCAGACATCTGCCGTGCATCCAGGTCCTGGCGGAGAGCTGATTTCGCTGAGAGGCGGCATTTCTAGGAAGGTGACCGAAGCCCAAAACCTGCACGATGTGCCTCGGCAAACTTGGGCGACCTCACTTGTCCCGGCTCACGTTGAAGGCCCTGCAATGCCACTGCAACTTGAAATTCTCTCGACTGCCGTCACTCAAACCATCTTTGCAAGCCAGCCCGTGGCACGTGAAGGAAAGGGAGACATACGGGAAGAACTCCTCATCCCCGTCTGCCTGGAACAGCCAAAGTGACATGAATCTCATCGGCCCCGGAAAGCCCTGCCTCGGACATTGCTGTACCCATGGCGCCGGCCTCCAGGAGGTTTCGTGCTTAGGCAGAGCTTTTGCCACCAGAGTCTCTTGTGACTCTGCAACAAGTCACTCCAGGTCAGCTG